GACACCACCACCACCTCAGTTGGCCAGTATTGTGATCAGGGTGCATGGACCGATCTGATCTGCTCCATGGATAAGACACCACCATCAACATTCTCGATAAAGCAAAGCATACTCACTAGTTTAAGAGATTAGTAAATGAGATAGTCAAGGAAGTTAACCAAAGACGAAATACCTTTCTCCCATTCAGGCCGTATTCGCTATCTTCCCTTTCCTCAGGGCTCAGGCAAAATTTGTAGAAAGAGGCAATGACTAACGCGAGGATAGAACCCTCACCCGAAAAGCCAGTCCAGAGTGGCGGAGCTTGATGGTTTTCCATAGAAGACATAATTTCCTAGTATAAATAGAGGTGGAAGCGTGGTCTAAACTATTGGTTTTTCAACCGCTACGACCCGGGATCGAATTCCACATTGGGCACTTTTTTTTCTAATTATTAAAAAGAAAATGCTTCAATGGCCCCGATTCTTGCAAAAGTCCAACCCTACCAACGAGTGCAAGTAACTAAACGGAGCTCTGGTATATTTGTAAGTGCAAAAGTCGAACTGCTTTTCACATATGTAGACATATGGTGCATTCTCAGTAAAAGAAATCACTAACTACCAACCATGATTATAATGGCCTGTACCACGTGTAATAGGGATAATAAAAAAGAGAGGCTTTCGCGATCCTTAAACCTTCACATATCCAAACGACAACCAAGGAATTACAATTAGTATTTCCTCCAGATAGGACAGCAGGAGAAATTTCCTTGAAATACCAAATCTACCAATTAGAAGATTCCCAAGAAGTTTGGCAAGTAGCCACACAACATAATGAAAGAATAAATAAATACAGTTAAACCTTTCTATAGCGCCCCCTCTTGGGACTCACCAAAAATGATGTTATATAGAGGGGGCGCTATAGACAGGTTTAACTGTTTTAATTTATTTTTTCATTATGTTATTTGGCTACTTGCCAAACTTCTTGGGAATATTCTAATTGGTGGTTTGTAATGTAAAGCGTATCGTACTACGTATTTAAAATCGGGCGCTATAGAGAGTGAGGTGCTATTTATAGGGTGCGCTATAGACATTTTAACTGTATATTGATTCAAGATAAGCATTTATCTAAATAAAAGAAAGATAGTGAAAAGACAATTCATCAGCTAACTGAATGTCAGATAGAAAGACGAAATGAATAAGCAATATTCCATAAGCATCAAATCTCCGTCATGGAATGACTAAGGACAATTCACCAGTGAGGTTTAGTAAGTCAGAGATTGACGTGTTCTAGCTTCGGTCCGATGGAGCCGTACAAGGTGTGTGGAAACAATGGTCTAACAGCTGCCATACTTCCTATAGATAGATCGAGATTGACTTAATCACATTCCTATTCTTTGTAAACAATCTCTAAACATGAATAATTACATCTCGATGTTCACCTCTCCTCATCAAATTAGAACAATATGGTAGAATATTTAATTTAAAACAAAACTACAAATTATCCTCACAATGAGTTTCTTCTTTTAAATTGTAAGCTATCAAGCTTCTTTAACACACCTTGTAAAGTGATGGTTTGGGAATAAAAAATTATTAAAATACTTTTCTAAAGATTAAGAAAAGAAAAAAGGGCATCTCCTCATCGTGCAACTAAAAATTTCGGATGGCTTGAGACATTTAATGTAAATATATAAACAATCCGTTGATTTTTAATTATTCCAGAATTGGCCAAATACTCATTATTTATTAACCAAGAAAAGCTATTAAATATTGAAATTATATATTAATTAAGAAAATAATTGATATTTATTCCGATAGATAGCGCAAGCCATTGTCAACTTTTTGTTGCACGATAAGGAGATGCCCTTTTTTTCTTTTTAAATTTATGAACCTTATCCCAGTATAATATCACATTTGTACTATTTTGTCACTTTTCTATAGGTTCTTGTTCATTACTTATTGACTGGCCTTTGTATCTGGCTTATGAGCTCACATTAATTTAAAGTAGCTTAATAGTTCAGATAAATAATTCGCATAGAGGAGAATGGTTTTCCTTTTTTATTTTTTCATATCAAATACACTATATATAAACGATAAATTCACCTTATATTGCTGTTAAATTAGTAATATTTAGGTTTTCAAACTTATAGCTTTAGAAAAGCCGAATTTTTTACTTTTCTAGATGCATCAACGAATAATTGTTTCTGACGTCAAGCGAGAAATGGCTGATGGTATTTTCACAGAGTTTTATTAGAGAATTCAATATTTTTTTAGAGAATTCAAATCTATGTATATGAATTAATTTACAATTCAAACAATATAATTTTTAATAAAGTAAGTATAAAAATAATGTGCGATTTTAAAATAACTATTTTATAAACGTCTGTTTTATAAACGTTCTTTTCTACTCTATGAATAAAAATAAACTATTTTTACACCAAAGCAACTTAAAAAACATGTAATTTTTTTACCAATATAAAATTTTGATCTTATATTTTTTTACAATAATATATTAAAAAGGTGTATATAAACTTGGTATTATATACGTTTAGAAAACACTGGAGATACATGTATACGATGTTCGTGATTTATCCAATACATCTAAGCTTTCACAATACCTTTATGGAAGTCTGATTTATGGGCTGACTCAGGTTTCCTTCACTATACTTGGTCTCTAGGTTTATGATATCTTAAAATATTGAGACCCATAGATATAAAATATCTCTCGACTTCCTTTCTCTTCTTTTAACATAAAAGACTTTTTAAAGATAATATTTTAGTTGAATGTTTGTTTGAAAATATTATATGGCTATATCAACCATGTTTTTTATATGCTACCTGAAATAAAAAAAAATATTTATTCAGCAATATATCGTCTCCAGAGGATTCATTTAATGACAGAATGGACTTAGTTTTTACCGGGTTTAATTCCGTATAGCATTAGTCTTATTTTAATAGGGCTTCTAATAAGTTACACAAGTTTAGATTAGAAAGGGTTGGTGGAAGGATGGTCTAAACCGTTGGTTTTCGACCATTACGACCCGGGTTCGTTTCCCGCATTGGGGACTTTTTTCTGATAAAAAAAATGATCCAATAGCCACCGATTCGTGCAAATGTCCAACCCCACCAGCGAGTGCAAGTATCCAAACGGGTTTCTGGTACATTTATAAGTGCAAAGTCGAACTGCTATCCACATGTGTAGACATGTGGTGCACTTACAGTAAAATAAGTCGCCTACTTCTACCCACCATGATTATCATGGCCTGTACCTCGTGTACTAGGGATAAGCAAAAAAAAATCTATACAAACTCTGAATGGTCTGATGTAGAGCACGCGTACTATGGATAAGTAAAATCTTTTCTAAAGAATTTATGATAATGTCATAATATACCTGTCTTTACCCGGGTTTCATACAGATGCGCCTCATTCATGTTTTGATAGAGCGCCTAATAAGTTGCATGAGTTTAGATTAAAAAGGACTGAGTGTCCATGTGAAAAAAATACGAATAAATTAAATTTATTTAGCATTCCTGTCTTTTCTGCCTATAGTGACAAAAATAATAAATATATAAAATAGGGGGTAAAAGACATCTCTTTATCGTGCAACTAAAAGTTGCTGATGGCTTGCGCCACCTATCGGAATAAATATCAACTATTCGTTGATTTTTTATTATTCCAGAATTGGCCAAATACCCATTCTTGATTAATCAAGAAAAGCTAACCCCTTTCGGACTGTTGGTCCTCGTCAACGTGGTGCAAGATGTACCTCAACAACCAAAAAAACTGGTCATTCAGGCATCCTGAAAAATCATGAAAAATAGGTTATAAAATAGGTTTACGATTTATTAAAATTACCAATGAATTGTGTTTAGTGTGTAAGTTTGATATACCTCATATTTGAAACTATATCTTCAGCTGGCTACATCTCCTACTTTCTCTCATATATATATGTCGTAAAATAAAGATGTATTTTAGGTACGTTACCAATTCATTCATGCAGTCGTGGATTGAAGTGAAATGATAACTTTTTTATATCCAAAATTGTATTTTTTTAATGATTATCTTTTAAGAACAAAACAGTTTTGCATACATACAATTCAATAAATATAATCTAAGTATAAACAACAAAAAAAACATTGGGTTGTATTCCTTTTGTTGAGGATTTTACAAATCAACTCTGTGTCTGGTTCTATGATTATTCAAAATATAATTATATCAATGAATAATAAAAATCATATTTTTATTATGTCATATATTTATTCCGTATATACCCTTGTATAATCTTATATGAACGCTTAATAAATTAGTTTCAATCTCTTTTTTTCTCTCTCCATATGTAATTTATTATTTAATTCAGTAACCTCTTTCTGGAGAATATTAACAAGCCTTGATATTTAGAATTGGTTATTGTAAAAATAGAGAACTAAGCTATCGGTTGAAAGTGTGCATGAGATGTTTAAAGATATCTAAAGAAATCTTTAAAAAATACTCATCACACACAATAGAACGTTGTATTCAACTATAATTATCATTTCTGTGATATGAAATTATATGATAATACTAATACAATAGTGAATGAAACATGACATATACAAGTACTGACGTATACAATACTTGTATTTATTTATAGCGGGAAAATGAAAATCCAAACAATTCGTTTATTGATAAAATTTAAAATACCACAAGGACTCTACTATCAAACATATTTACATAAAAAACATGGACATTAGAAAACACAGAAGCTGATAAAACATCCCTCCTATAGAAATTAATACATCAATTTGATGTCATTACCAAAAAATTGTCATTTTTTTCTTTTCATCTAACCTTGAGTTCAGCTTTTGTCGCGGTAATTGTCCTGCGCAACTTTGCCTTTGTCATCCTTTGTATTGTTCTGTTGGTCCGGGGGAACAACTTCCTCTGGATTGGCTCTTTATAGAGGTCCTACTGTCAGTGTTGTTGTGTGTTCTTGAGAGTTTATTCTAAATATTGGCCAACCGATGTAACTATTTGTATGTGAAAAATTGTCCAGGGAGGGAAACCGAACCCACAGTGTTCCGCTTACCGGGCAGGTGCCATGTCCACTAGGCTACCCTGGACATATTTTCCCGTTCGTATATATTATATAAATGATTTATAATACAATATAATGCCGCTTATGATTGTAGAACGAAGTTTTAGAATTATACTGCCAATGTTTCTTTTGAGCAAAAAATCGAAATTTATTTGAAGGAGAAATAACGATTATTTCTAACCTTAGAGAATAAGTATGATAGGATAAATTGTGAAGAGTAACGATAAACTTACACTATATTTTTCCGTTTATCATCACTCTTCACAATTCATCCTATCATACTTCATCCCTAAGATTAAAAATAATCGTTATTTCTCCTTAAAATAAATTTCGATTTTTCAAAAGAAACATTTGCGGTTCAATTTTCAAACTTCTTTCTACAATCATAAGCCGCATTATATTGTATTATAGAAAAATAGTTTCACCGCAGATTATGGATCCATTCTTGCATCGCGTTCAATACTTTAGAATTTACGTAGTCAAATAAGATTATTTTTAAATTACTCTTTTTTTTTACCAAATAACTTTCTGAAGATCATTGTTGGTTGGAAGTGGATTCAGAGAAAAACACAGCCACATTATATTTGAAGAGATTGACAGGAAATCACTAAAATGTCAGGAGTTAAAATAAACTATTAGTTTCTGTGGCTGGGTTTTTCTCCAAATATCAATCTCTTTATGCCGCTTCTCAGCTCGAGTTAAAATGCCATTCTATTTGATTCTTTAGCAGATTAACACTCTTCCTTTCAAGTTCTTAATAAGTGCAATATGTGTGTTTTATATAGCGTTTTCTACGGCAGTAAAAGGGAGGGCTCTCTTGAAAACTCTGGTTTTCAATTCATGTCTTAATGTCCGGGTTAGGTCTTTTTTTTATTTTACAGAGGCGGTCGCTCATGGAATGCAGTTGCTTACGGGAGGTTTCACAGTTTCTCTACTTCGATATAACAATACTCAGAGAGATTTGGCTCATCATGTTCACAATTCGCTTGAATACCCATAAAGAATTCCTTTTCAGTGACTGGCAATATCGCTGGGAGGGTTTACCATAGTCCCTCTCAATATTTCACAGTAAGGGCGGTAGAAGTAAATTGTAACATTTGAAAAGTAACAATATCGCGTTAAAATAGTTTACATATCTAACTAACAAAACTCCATCTTCCGCTTTCTAGCTGCCATTGATCAAATGATAACTTAATGATTTATATAGCTTCAACACAATCCTGTTTGTAATTAAGCCTTTAATAGATATGTGAGCAAAGTTTTTTTTTTAATGATTGCTTTTGGCAATGTGAGAAATATGCAATTGGGAAACCCCGCTATGGTTATTATCATTCGGGTATTTCCTCGAAGGTAAATTCCCTTTCTCTGTTGGATTTTTTCCCCTTGGTTGGACTTCTTGTATCTGTCCTCTAGGTAAACTTCTAATAACTAATTGTCATATCACACGTAAGGTTTCACATCTCTCTTTAGTAGTACAGTATATTGCAATTATGCATTGAAAATTTTACTTTTATGTTATCAATTCTAAATACTTTTTGAAATGGAAATCATATATATTTTTACGTCGTATCCAGACGCTATTCGTATATTTTTTCTACTCAGTATGCCACAAAGATACACACGTGAGTTCGAAGGAATGCAGCAAATATTAGCGCTTTATTATGTCTCTAAACAGAAGGAGTACAATAAGTGGGACTTGCCCTCAACCTCCCCGTCAGAAGAATCCTTGGCGCCGTGGATGTCACTTTTGGGAAACCTTCCGCTCCAAATAACACGTCCAGCCTGGACTACATCATCTTGTAGACCACTCCGATGTCAGGCTCTCCTTGCAGGATCATCCACACGCCCGGAGGCAAGTCGCCACGTCTTCTCCTCGCCGCAGATGTCACCAGACTCTGTCCTTCCCCACACAGGAATGCTGTTTTTAGCGCCTACCACATGACAGCGGGGGCAGCTGTATTCCACCCTTCTTTCCTCAACTTTACTCTGGTATCTTGGCCTTATCATCTACTAGCCGAATGACCCGGGCAACGCCCGTGTTTTACCCGATTGAATGTTTTGATTCAAATACTATTTGTTACAATTATAAATTGGCGCCTTATATAAATATATATGTTAGTTAATAACTATAGCCTATGTGCTTTATCTGTCTATGTACTGTTGGCTTCCGTAGGCGTCTCTTACTGGGAAAAAGAAAGAGAGGATTCCATTTGGTTATTAACTAATATATGCGTTTATTTAAGGAGCGACCCGCTCCAACACAATGGTTACAAAAACGAGAAAGCGATTGGGGCAAAGGTGGCGTGATTGTAGCCGACCAATAGGAGGGCGCCATTCCAAAAAAAAAAAAGCAAAAGGTGACAGAGATGACTGATGAAGAATGACGCTCGTAACTGTATATAGAATGTTAGACTATATTCTGAAAATAGAGCAATACATATTTAAATCTTTAGATAATAAAAAGACATGGAGATTGCCTGGCCGAACTTTTTCTGACCGAAGTGTATCTTATTTTAAGAACTTTAAAATAGCATTTTATTTCTGAAACCAAAATTAATTAATAAATTAATATCTATTTCTCTAGTTGTATGGTTGATTGTGAAGTTTCAGGTCATCACGTTGACTGATGCAATATCTCTTACAGTCTCATTAATTACTCCAATATTCTGCACCGTCATTCTCCAACTGACATCTATCGCTCTGATGTAGAAACTCTGGTACATATCCACTGACTCAGCAGGACTTCTTGAGTTGTCATTAGGGTAAAATGACCTTTTAGTAAGCCCCCACACACACATACACCCACATGTGTGTTTGATATTGTCGCGAACAAAAATATTTTAAATAGGCTTCCGAATTACTTCAAATATTTATTTAATTAGTTATAGGAAAGATTTTAAATATAAAATAAAAGTTACTATGTATATGAGCCAAATCGACCCAGCAGCTCGAGCAAGAGGGGAGAACTGAGTTTTTTCTACCCCTTCCACGAGGCGCCACTGTTTACCCCGACCTGTCGGTCCAGTCCAGATAAAAGGGAGTAACTCTGTCCTCCTGACAATATATTGATTTTCTCACTATTATCATATAGCTTCGCTGTCGAATCTTACATTGCACAAATATTTTTAATTTATTAGCATTTATATAAAAATTATGACATATACGAACATGAAGAAACAGAGAAATCATTTAAAAATAATACAAAGGTGTTATTGTGTACGATAACAGGTGATAACATTTAGAAAATGCTTGCTAATGACTTGTGTTGAGTTTTCTGAGAAATATTATTTTGTTTATTAATTTAATTGTTCTGTGATTATGTATATATTGACCGCTGACTATCTTTGTATATAATTGAGATATTTTTAAATAGAGTGTGTGTGAGTAGTAATTTAGTAGTGCTCTTTTTTTTTTCTTTGGTCGACTCATTATCGGCACCATTGGGGTGTCGCCGGCTTCTAATTCGTTAAGGACAAAGGAACCTTAACAACTTGAGTTGAGAAAAATATTTGAAATTATGTTGATATTTATTCCGACGGATGACGCAAACCATCAGTAACTTTTGATTACAATATGTATTTCGACGACTAAAGTTAAAATATATTCGGTAGAGTGTCGTCTTATCAGTCGAAAAACTTTCCTGAGATTTAGTCAGTTCACGAATTATGAGCTTCACAAATGTGTCCCCTATCTTATTTCAGTAACATAAAGGTATCCCAGGCTCCTGGAGCGTATCCATAGATCGCTAACTACCCGGGCTGTCCTGCGGTTTAGGAGTCTGTTTTGGTAGCGTTAGTGAACCAGTTCACCAAGTGTCTCTAGGCCGGTTTGATTCTTGGTAGATTCAATAAGGCAGTGTCATTGAATGTGGGCAGTCCAAATAGTGTAGGCTTCTAAATTCTCAGTAGTTGAAAGGCTGGGCAGGTGAAAGTTCACAGATTGTCGAACTAAGCCCTATATTATAAAATAAAACTGCTGAATAATTTATTATTCTCTCAAGAAACCCATGGCGCTCTGTGTCCTGTTTGATGTGAATGAACTTAAGAAAATAATTAAATATGAGTGATTGAATATTAGATAATAATTGAATATTAGTTAATTTATTTTTCTATTGTTTTTTGACCAAGAAAAGGTAAATTCATTCTATCAAGAGATATGTAAATTTTGTTCGTTCAATTTTAATTTTAATTTTAGTTTTCCTTGGCTTGCATGTAAATATTCTTAAGGAAGAGAAATAAACTTTTTTTTTCTTTCATAAGTGCAGACATATTTTGTTTGATATAAATTTCTAGAAAATTATTTAAATAGCAAAATAACAATGGCGACGAGACTTTCGTTCGAACCTTATGTAATGAAAGAAGAACCTTTTGAAAATTATATTCAACGATTCAAACAGTACATTTTTGTGAATGAAATTGAAGGTAAGAAGATTGTTCCTTTTTTTATTATGTCTATTGGACCAAATACTTATGGTATTCTGAAAGAATTGATCTCACCTAGAGATGTTTGTGCATTAGAATTCGAAGAAATTGTTAGTGTTCTACTTACTCATTTTACACCTAAGCTAAATATCATTTTTGAAAGATATGAGTTCAGCCAATTGATTCAGGAACATGGCGAAAAAATAGAAGAATATGTCCTTAAATTAAAAAAACAAGCTAATAAATGTAATTTTGGCTTAAATATTGAAGAACACCTAAGGGATAAATTCATTGCAGGAATTTCTAATCAAGTTATTTTGAAAAGATTACTGCAAGAGCCTGAGCTCACTTTTAATATGGCAGTAAATATTGCTACCACAATAGAATCGGTAGATTGTAATGTGTTGAAAATGAAGTCTTATGCTGAAACTAAAGAAATAAACAAATTACATTCTAAATGCAAGCATTGTGGAAAGATGAATCATCATTCGGACAGATGTTTTTTTAGAAATTCTTTCTGCTATTCTTGTAAACAATTGGGACATATATCGACTGTTTGTCATTCAAAATCTAAGAATGGATATTTTCAACCAAGAAAGAGTGAA